CGAGTTACTCCACAGAGTAAGGGGGGTGGGGGGGAAGCCCAGCCCCCCCCTCCCCACCCCGCCTTGTTGCTGCTTTTTGTGAGTTACTGCACCTGGAAGGCTAATGTGTGGGGTTTTGGGTTTGTTTTTGGTCCCCCACCCGCAGAGACGGTAGGATCTTTCTCACTTTAACGTGATGTTTGTTTTAGGAAAAGCAGGGTGATTCTATTCGCCCTTGCCGAGGGTGCAGTCTAAGCAAGAGTTAAAATCCTCAGCTGAAAGTCTCGTGTTGCCTCCTCTTTTAGCTGTTTATCAGTCAATGCAAATTATCTACGGAGGAGTGACCAGGCTTGTCGTCAAGACTCTCAGTCCCCACGTGCTGTTGTAAAAGGTGCTCCTTTAATTAACTGATGCCTGCCACACACGGTAGCTTGCTAGGTAGTTGTGTTTTTCTGCAGTACTGTGTATGACCAATGTGTTAAGTAACTGAGGTAAATTTGCTGAATCAGAATGAGGGAGCAGAGGAACGGGGCTGCATATGCTAGGAATGTATATACTAGAAAAAGGAAGATACAAAGATTATCGTGGAATAGCTTAGACATAATTTTATTTGCTGTGGCTTTTGGAGGAAAATTCTTCTCACAATTGAGTTGTGGGGAATTTTGTTAGGCGTTTGTGGCTTTTAAATGTGTAATTTTTGGTCAGATGACCCAAACTCTAGTTTTGTCACTAGATCAGACTAGCTCTAGCTGTTCCGTAGCTGTGAGCTGCCAAATCAAGATGATCTTGCAAGCTTCGAGGCTAAATAATCAGAGCTTAAGTCTTAGGCCCTAGCAGTAGCTTAGTTTTTCCTGCCTTGCTAGGATTAAGATATAAGCCAATATTAAAGTGATTAAAAAAAAAAAAAGTGGAAGATTAGCCTTGGTGAGCTTCTGCCTCAGTTTCTACTTCCTTGAAACTATACAGCCACTTTCACACTGTGTGGCAGGCTTGAAGCACTGCATCCATACACATGTTAAAATAATTGACACAATGTTTGTTGCAAAAATACAGTAGTTTTAAAATCAAATTCCTCTCTTTTATTGTGCACCTGGCTTTTTTTTAGAAAAAAAGAGGGGAAAAAAGTCAGGATTTTTAAGTAATGTTTTAGTCTGTGCACAGCATTTGCAATAATGCGTTAGTTTAGACCATGGTGGATCTGACCAAGGATGGTCAGGCCAGTAGAAAATTCAGGAAAAAAAGCAGCGTTTGGAAGTGTTTTAGTAATCAAGGGCATACTGCACTGACAATTCTGCATTGAAAGATTTGATAAATGCAGAAACAAATAAGATGGGGGGGAGGAAGGAAAATTTGTGGCCCATAAGAAAGATAGCTTTAGAAAAATAATCTCTGATCGAATCACTAAATATGGTGTGAGAAATCGCTGGGTACAGTATTTTATTTAATTGTACTTCATTTAAATTAATTTTAAGTTGATAAAGACTGTGCTATAAAGTAATTGAGAGGCTTTGGGGTTCCAGAGAAGCATGTGATACTTAGTTCGTACATAGAATTACTACATTTATACAGAAATTGTCCCCTGCTTCATAGAAAACGTACCCAAGTATTCACACTATACAAATACAACGATGCTTTTTATAGTGTCATTCTTTAAAGAGAGAATCGGTAGTTAGCTAGCTAGTGATAGGATATCTTAATCTAATGAAAAAAGGGGCTTTTTATATCGTTACCCTGACTAGTCAGTCAATATTACTGTGTCTTTTATCTTGACTTGCCTGCTGCAAGCTTACTTCTTGCCTTTCCAAACAATAAAGGAAACCTATTCCTCCTGCTTTGCACTCGCGCCTTGCTCTTCCTTTTTCCTATGTGATCAGTTCAGGTGAACTTTTCTCCCTCTGAGTTGAAGGAACAAAGTCCAGGAATTAGGAGTTGTTTCATTAGCACATGGTCAGACACTGATGCAAGGACCAGAATGTTCCTGTTGTACTGGGGAGTAGGCAGACAATTGAAAGGTGGCCTGATGCCCAAGTGTCTGATCGTTATCTCAAGTCTGTTGGGTCAGCTCTTGAAAGTCATGTCTCAACGTGCGCTATTTTCGTCTCTGTTCTCTTTGCTTTGCCATGGTGGACCTGCATATGGTCATGGAGTACCATGGTGAGGAAAGGTGTGTTCATTGAACCACACAATTTCTTTGCCCGCTTGTTAAAGTCAGAAGAGTTAATCCAGATTTCTTCTGATGCGATGGAGAACAGTCATAGGCCTGTTAAATACAGTAGTTTCATTAGTTTGGGGGGTTCCTTCCCCTCTCCCCCTGTATGAAAGAAAGCATAGTAGATGTTTTCTGGAGATGAGTTTCTGCATGGTTCATGTTTTAAAATGAAACATTCCAGAATCAGTCAGGCTAGAAAATGAAGCATTTGCAGAGAGAGAAGTTTGAGATGCAGAGAGGTGGTGACTTGAATTCAAGTCCTGTGTTCCATATCTGCAGTGTGTGATGCAGTAATTCGGGAAGTAAATTTGGGGGTGCATGTATTACAGGCATTTGCTTTCATGTACTAAGCCTGGGTAGGAGATTCTTAAGAAGCATTTGTGCCAGCTTCCTATTTATATGTACATTTTTTTTAGTAAGCATGTGCTGTAATTGGGCAGTTGGAGGTACACAGATATGCTTTGACTTCCCTACTTGGTTTTTTATTTTAGAAGAGAAAATGGCATCTCTCCAATTTTTATCTCAAACCTCACATCTGTCTAAAACAAATGGTGGTTATACTTTTTGGGGACATGATCTTCAGCTGTTAGCCTCCTAGATAGTTACAATTTAAGTGATAGTTTTGTTACGCTGTGATGCTGGGGTCTTGAATACAGATGATTCTTTTACACATATATTGTACTGTGAGAACTGTAGCAAGAAGGCTGGTTTTTAGGAGAATAATTCAGATTTGGGAAACTTGATGCAAAGCTGGAAAATCATGCAAATTTTTTTCTCTTTATGTAGAAGTTACTATTTAAATTTGATGTGTGTGAAGTACTGAATTGCCAGCTTTTCTTCAGAAGTTAATTTCTGGTTTATTTACATGGGTCATTTGTAGGCTAACTGATTTCCTAGGAAAACTGTCAACAGAGCATCTTGCTAAAAACGTTTTCGTTATACTTTCATGGGCTGTGAGGCTAGTGGATGAAGAAATATTTATTTGTGTTTCATTTGACACCATTTGTAGTTATTTTTAATGAAAAGTTTGACTCGAAAGCATTTGAAGGAACTGTAGATAATTTCCAAATTAATTTTTACATTTTGAAAGTTCCTTAGCTTTTTATTGTAGCTGTGTTGTAATTAAGGCACTTGTATCAGCTTCCATGAATGGTCTCTAGCATTCAGTGTTTGATCTCAGGTGTTTGTGTTTGAAAATTGTACATCTACATTTGATAAAAATTGCCATAGTCTGGGAGCATGGAGTTCGTTACGCTTAGGAGCATAAAGTCTGTGGAAGTCTCAGTTCAGTATGATGGTTGTGCAAGTGAAAGCAGAATTTAGCAGTGCTTGACTTCTAACTTCGACAGATCTGATGAGGCAAATTTTAATGCTGTTTAAACCTGCTATAAAAACTTTGAATCAAAGTTCTGTCTCTGCACATAGTTTTCACTGGAGCTGGGCACGTTCACCTAAAGGTTGAAAGAAGCCTCAAAAGTGTAAAGTGTTGCGTCAAAAAGAAAAAGGGCGAAGGTGGTGATAACAGATTTATAGATGGTTGGTTTATGATACTTTCTTTTTAAAGTTGGAACTCATCACATGCATCAGCTGCTTCAGACTTAACAAAATCTGCAGAATTTACCATAACAGACGACTCTAGAGATGATTATCAGTATGAAGAGGTAATTTACTAAATTGATAATCTTCTGATATATGTGGTAGAGTATTCATGTTTCATTCTTTTGTTTTACTTCATCAGTCACAAAAACATCCCAGGAGAAATGACACGAATCTCCTTTTATAAAAGTGTGATGATGCTAGGCATATCTTTATTTTCAAGAGAGGATTTAGTGTCTGTTGACTCGTTATGTTTTACTTTCATTTGAATGTTAAATACTTTTTTAAAGATACAGGTATTTCTATTTAGATGTTTCAGCTTATTTATAATGAATATTTCAGTAATGTATATATTCTATTTAAATATGGCAAAATATTATTTTAACAAGAATGAGTTTATTTTCAGTAGTTGTACTGGGAATGGAAACGGTTGTATTCTGAAAGAAAGATGTAGAAAATATGTTGATACCTAACTTTAAGTAATTTCATTTAGGTTCTGTCCGATGATGAATTTAGTCTTCAGGAAGATGATGAGGATCTCTCAAAGGCTTTGCAGACTATTCAAGAGCAGGCTGAAGATGCTCAAATTTTAGTAAGAACTTCCTAAACATTCTAAGACTCTGTCTGTAATTCAGTTGGCATTAGTGGCTTAAAATTTACATACCATAATTTACTTTAATTATGAAATATTTGTGTGGAAAAGGTTGCTGCTTATTTTTTAGAAGTTTCTAGGTGTAAACATATGCCCCAGTGGAAAAAGCAATTTGTTTCCTGGGTTTCATCTTCCTTAACTTTTGCTCATTTTATGTTCTGTAAACAACCTGATACTGCAAATATGTGTAACAAATGTATAGATAGATAATTTAAAATATATTAATATTATGACAATGTATCAATACTTTAGGGTTTGTTTCTTTACCCAAGTAGATTGAATGAGTGTGATCCCTGACACAGGAAAGAAACTATATGCTTAAGACCCAAAGAAGCTTGTACTCTAATACTTTGCTGAAGATGATTATTCATGTATTGAAAATAAAGAATGGGCTGTAAAACTATGTTAAATCAAAATATTAATGAAATTATCAATCATTTTACACAATTAGTTTTTGGAACTTCTTGCATTTACAGTTTGTTTTCAAAACAATCATGTAGTAATAGTTCAGAGTTACACAATGGGATTGTTGTATTGCATTTTCCAAAATAGGATTTACCTGAATTTACGTACTTACAACAATCTAATGGACAAGTGCTTTTTCATGCTGTTTTTCTAATATCACCGCTATCTTACAGCCTTGTCAGTAAGCTGTTGTCATAGTCATTGTTTTGCAAAAGCAAATGATTAATGATGAAAAGATAATTTTATCTAAATGATTCTTAACATCAAAATGGAGAAGAAATGTGCATTTTCTTCTGCACTAGTGCATATCAACAGATCAGTTTTGTATTTTAGACCATGCTTGGAATGAAAATTGACAATACTGGAGTCTTACGTGTTTTGAAACATTCAAAATTAAGGGAAAGATGGTAGAAGTTTTAAAGGATGAACATGTTTAAAGTTAACCAAGTAGTGGAAATTCATAGTGTTCTTTAGGGTTAACTGAAGTTATGTCTGTTTTACTGTGTGAGTTGACATTCAAATAAAAAGTGAAACAAGGAAGAACATTTTAATATATTGATCTTTTGATAGTGCTCTATTTAAATAATTTTACCTCTGTTGATTTGTTGAGTGATAGGAAACAATATGCTAATATCTCTCTCATTTAATCAAACTGAAGAAAATGTTACCTTTCCTTAAAAAAAAAAAAGAATATGTGTGCTTAAACTCAAATTCTCTTTGATTTTATGCTTACGCTAATAGATGCCTGTCTTCATGCTTCTTGACTCATTATTTGGAGGTTTCACTTTCTTTTTTCCATAATTATGAAACTTGAATGAAATAACATTTCCAGCCTTTGGACAGAAAGGCATGAATAGAAAAATGTTTCAATATACTTTATAGTTCCTTGACAGCCTCCGTAACTATTTACTGTATATTTTGTGAGGCTCAGTGACTACATTGTTTAATGCTAATTCACTGGAAAAAAACAAGTGCTGCAGTGAATGCTTTTGGTGACCCAACTTAGAAGCACGGTTTCCAGTGTATTAATATTAAATCAATATCCAAACTCTGAGCTAAGAAACATAGTAGAAGGCTGCCTTCACATGATAAATAATTGGTTACGCTTTTTCAATTATTAGCTTCTAATCTTGGCTAAAACAGGTTAAATTAGATAGTAACTGTATCCTGGAATAGGTACTCTGTGATATTCAATATTAGATGCAAATCTTTTGGTTAAGAAAAGAAATCCTGTAGAGAAGGTACGGGTCAAATGAGCATCCAGAAATATTTAAGCAATTTGCCAAATGCAGATACTCAATTCAGAAACTATGGATATTTATAGTAACTAGGTTCTTTTATGCTCTGCAAAAAGGTCAAGTATAACCAGGAAAATTAACAAAAATGCTTATTTTCAAACTTACTTGCAAAGTAATTAGCATTAATTACTAAATGAAAAGCAAACATAAGCAAATGAGAGATAGTGCTATTCAACTTTTTTTGTTGTTTGTTTAAATAAAATTGGTGTGTAGGAATTAAAGCTGTGTTTCTACAGGGTATATTGAGACATGTTTTCTTTCCTTCTGGATCGCTGCATAGATGTTGTAAAACTGGTGGTATCTAAGGAGTTTGAGGCTCCCTCACCAGTTACAGTTCACGTTTTTGTTTGGATCCCAACAGGGAAATGAGGGTAATGGAGCTCTAATATCTAAGTATCATTTTCCCCTAGTCTGGAGGTGAAATGGCAGTTGATTCAACATACAGCTGTGCTGGGCAACACATGCTTTGGATAGCAGTGATTCTACCTACTGTTCCTGTTCTAGTCATCATTTGTCCTTTTCAGTTGCAACTCGTGGTTTTTTTTCCTCTTGTCCTTGTTTTGAGACATTGTAGAGTAATATAAATTATTTTTAAACACAAGCAGAAGAGTATTCTGCACGTGACAGAAAATCTTCAGCTGATAGGGACCCTAGGAAAACATACAGAACTTCTGGAAAGCCACACACACAAAAGGAAGCTGGCTGAAATGCTTACTTCAGTAGTTACAGCTATTATACTTCCATTCCAGGATCTTTATTTTCTTAATACCCCAAATGATAATCTGAAGTTACATTGTCCTTCATTAACCTTATATTTTATGTAGGTTTGATTTTTAATTTTTTTGAATGTGTTAAAAAATCCTTGAATTCACTTTTTGTATTCTTTTTTAGTTCAGTAAGTTTTGCAAGAACATCTTATTTTGTTTTCCAGAGAAATTATTAATTTATTTGGTGTTCATCTTTCTTCATTGGACAGAAATTCTTGCAAGTATTGTGGAAATCCTTAAGGTTAAGCTTTTTGCAATTAATTTATTTTTTATTTGCAATCTTTACACTCAAAATGTTTTGAAGATCTTAAAAAAAAAACCAACAACCAAGCAATGTTTAACAAATATTTAACAAAGCAAATATTTAGCTTGTTTATTTTGACTTACTGGTCAGAATCCTTTAATAAGGTGGTTTTGTCTATATATCTACTTTAGGGCGTCTGTTTGCACTGCATTAATTAACATTGTAATTTCCTCATTTCTCAGTAGGTAAATATATACAAAACCTTATTGTTATTGCATTCTATGGGTAGTCATCCAAGGTAAAGATAAAGAAAGTGGTTAGCCTCACTCTCAAAGTCTGCAGAAAAGCTAGGATTTTAGTTCTGCTTTCCTGAGGCCCTGTTCGAACACTGTGCTTGTTAGACTGCATTCATTTCCTCTGTATATTGTTCCCTGCTTGAGCTTCGGTTCCTGACATGATTCTCAGTGCTAGTATCTAGCTAATAAAACCTCTTCTGCACAGATGAAATTAATTCCTATCGTATTTCCATTTATTAAGGGAATCAAGCGGTGTCATTTCTTCCAAAGACTGACTTTATAGATGTGTTTGGGAAACTACAAGCAACAGTAGTAGATGTTTGCCTCACTTGAAGAAAGAAAAGAAGCAAGAAAAGGGATGCAGCTGCATGTCTGCAGATGTACTCTCTTTGGTTCTTGTGTTACCACAATTAGAAAATAGACCTGTCTGATGTACTGTATCTCTAGTCATGAAAATATGCTAAATATTACATTGCACTTCGCATATTCTATTATTCATAATACAGTGTTACGTGGCCTTGATCGTACATGTACAATTCTTTCTGTTTATATTAGATAGGTTGCTTGGATTAAACACAACATTTTCTCTGTGTGTTTTTATTTTATTGAGAGAAATGCCTTTGTTTCTGGGTAATTTATGCAGTCATGTTGATAGAGCTCTCACTAAGGACATGAATAAGCCATAAACGGATGGAGTTATCAAAAATCCCTGGCCTACAGATTCTTTTTTAAATGAATGGAGGAAGTAATTTGCAGTCACAGCCCTTAGCATGTCTTGATGAATATCTCACTGAAATTTTTTTCAGTTTTGCTAGTGTTGAAGTGAAGAAGGTAGGCATGTATGGAAGCTGTTTCCACTTCTCTTCTCTACAGTGGTATTTTTTAAATAATATGTAGCTCATGTTGTCACAGAACCTGAGTTTCTTTCTAGAGCACACTAAGTGATAGTTGTCAAGTCCACGTTTGTTCTGTCATCCTCTCACCAGGAGGACAGGCATGTGCAGTACCTTAGTAGCCTGCGTTGTTGAGCAAGTCCATTGTAGCATTGCGCCCACGTGGAGTTCCCAAATGCCGAGACCCTCATATTTAGGTACATCAAATCACTGCAATGCATTTGAAGTCTTGAATGAATTAATGCCACCTCTTTGGCTGCCAAGTTGTGGCAGACCCTCTCATCTGGTTATCTTTAAGTTCATTTTGCAGGGGGTCATGTATACTTTTTCATACCTCCTTGTATCTTGAAATCTCTCTAGGAGAGCTTAATGGGGTTGGATGAAGGAAAGAAATTTGCATTACAACAGAAAGCTGTGAAAGGGTTGGGTTTGGTTTTTTTTTTTTTCCCCTCCATAGTAGGATTGCTCTGTTTTGTTTTGAATCCGCTTTTGGCAACTGTGCTTGACCCATGAGCTGATCTTATCTGAATACCTGTCTATCTTGATGGCACTGGATGAGCTGCATATGAAGCCTCAGTGCACCATCTGCATTCTGCTAAGGCTTGTAGCAGTGTTGTCTGGCAGCTTCCTTCAGTGTCTGCATACGGATGTTGAGAAGAAAAGGGAGAACTGAGCTTTGTGAGACTTCCTAAGAGACCTGATGATGGAGATGCAGTTTTCTTAGTCTGTCCATTGCATGCATCATTACAAAAGGAACACAAGGCATTTTTCTAACACCTTGGGCTTTTGCATTTTTAGTTAGATGAAGTACTGATTTTTCTCAGGGTGCAGGAGTATGAGAACTAACATTTTCTTTCTGGTCAGTGACAGAAGATTAACCATCAGTTTAAATAGTTTCAAGTCCATATCAGGTTATGTCAGGTTCAGAATACTTGTTTAAATCAGATGATTTTTGAGTTATTTCTCTGTAACATTTCCCAGCCTTTGATATTAGATGGATCAGTAATTACAGATCTGATCAATAAAGACAAGGGAAACATTCAGCTATATTCCAGTAGATCTGTGACTTTAGATGACTTCAGAAATAGAAGGCACAATAATTATATTTCTCTTGTAGGTTTAGTAACTATTATAAAATTTTAATTTCAGGCTTTGCAATCAGTTCTGACTTCCGAGAAATCAGTATCTGAAATACCTGAAGCAATGGATGACTTCTTCTGCAATTTCCTGGTCAGATTGGGAATGTCCAGAACCCTTGACTGCTTCCAAACTGAATGGTAAAATATTTTAAGTGACCGTGTTACTTTGAGAATTAGGGAGAATTGGGATTCAAATATTTACAGTATTTCAGGATATATTTCCAGAAAACTCTTCTGAGTACAAGTCATTATTAAATACGTAGTCTTTTACCAAATAAATATATATATGTTGCGAATGAGGATGCAAACTATTGTTTCAAGGACAGACTTTCAAGAAAGCTGACTCCAGGGATCTCCTAAAGAGGTACCTTTGAAGGACTGTAAACATTTTGCTTAATTCTAGACATTTAAAAGCTTGAAGTGGTCATCCAAGGCATCTTTTGTGACCAGTGAAGACAAATACTCGTTTTCGGGATGCAGCTCATTTGAGTTGTTTAAGCCATCTCCTTTAAGATGAAATGAATTAAATTATATTTTTTTAAAAGTATATTCTGCTCTCCACTGACTACCAACAAAAACTAGAAACCAGCTGAAGTGCAGAAGTCATCATTGGATCAAATGAGTCCAATGCACGATGAGCAGCATTTCATTTCAGCAGTGCTGAGAAATCGTGTGGCTTTGTTATTTTCTTGCTTTCCAGAACCAGGGTGCCTGCTTAAAAACTGAATGTTTTGTAGTATGGTATAGTTATTTTCACCTTACTTGTTGTGGTATTTTTGGACATTCATCATAGGTACATTGTATTTTGAAGTATAATAATAACACATTTTTGATACTTGATAATTTTCGGTATGTCAGTCAAAATAATATGGCTGGTTAGTTTGTTGTTTTTATTTTTTAAATTTAATTCATATAGTAATCAGAAGAGCAAACTCTTGAGCTGTCGCCGTCTTCTTTTCCCCAGCTTTTATAGATTGCAGAGATTTTGTCCATACTTCTCACAGAAGTTTAAAAATGCAGCTTTGTCTAAATACTCCACTTCCTCCACTGCTCTTCACATATAGAATCCCACAGGGTGTATTCTTTTTGAAATACTGATTAAGAATGATGTGCTAGGAGTGCTGCAAAGCTTGAGAGGAAAGCTGGATTATTTTGGAGCAAAATATTGTGCTTATCATAAAGTTCTGTTGAAAAACTTTCAGCTACAAGCTTGCTTTGAATCTGCAAGTTACATTGGAAAGATTCTGAGAAATGGAAACACCTCTGAATTATCTTGTAGTCAGTCTTTAAACATCAGAGCTTCAGAGCTTTGTTAATAACATCTTTTGAAATTGTTTAGTTTGAAAATTAGGAAATTTGACAAGTTAGAAACATTTTTTCCTACAAAAGCCTTGAGGCTTTTACATTTTCTTAGAAATATTCTCTAATGAGGAAATAATTGCTGCTGTTTGCAGGGCTGTGGTCTTATTAGTGTAGAGCTCACCAGTCAGGTGTTGCTTTTGGAAATAATGATGATGTGGCTTTTGATAGCATAACAATGTGACTTAAATGATTCCTTAGAGAAGGAGCACTATAGTTCTGTATTCTTTTTTAACAAAAGAACTGATGTGAATAGCATTAAGGTTAGAAGTTGTTTAACACTTTTTATGGAAAAAGATAATTAATACTAGACAGATATAAATAGTGACCTTTTTATGAAACCACAGCTTTCTCTGAAGCACTTAAGAGTCTGAATTTATATCAGTGGCAAAATTCAAATTGCTTTTTAACAGAGTACGAGTACATCTTAGCAGGCCCTATCTTGTAAATCCTTACTATACATATATTTTTTCTCTATAAGTAATACTTTTAATTTCAGTAGCATTACAAATGAGCTCAGCATGTCAGGATCTAATCTTACTGTATTGAGACTTTTGCTGCATTAATACCTTATTTCAAAATGTTTCATGTTGGTTTGAAATAGATAATTTACAATATTAATGAAAGTGAGAGCAGATTAGTGTACTCAGGTTCCTCATTATGTATTGGGATGACACTCTCGCTCTCATGCTGTGGTGATCAAGTACTAATGGAATTTAAAATGAGAAATTAATTAAGGTAGAGAAAATTTATCAAAAGCCTTGCTTTGAAATAATTGTCTGTCTGAGATCTAAAGGCCACTTAAATTGGACCAAATTGTCTGTGTTTATTTCAGAGTTTGAGAAAACATTCTGTTATTCTGTCCAGCTGTATAAAAAGTCATGATTTGACATGTTTTATTTTAAGCTAAATCCACTTTTTCTATGATGTAATGAATAATTTTACCACACTTGTATTGATTTTTTCCTTTTTACTTATGTAGGTTTTTTTGCACATACACTTTCTTCTTCAGGTTATACTTTAAGGAACTTAAAATTGGACTGAAATTATTTTTAGAATATCCAATTTACCATTAAATTTTCAATTCATTTGATAAACAAGACTTTATAGTGCTCTTGTTGCTTATGAAAGATACTGGATTGACAGCTTTGGAGTATCAAGTGCAAGGGCTGATCAGCTGTAAATTCATGCATCTGACAGTCTATACCTCCTAGTCCCAAAGAGCTCACCGCTGCTGGCAGCATGCTGCCAGTCTGATGAGCAGATGAATCATTTGCTGTTCACACATATGCATGGAGCAATTGCTGTGATTAGTTAGTATGCTCATTGGACTGGTAATCTCTGACTAAGTGTTTCTAGAGACCTGTCAGGGTTTCAGCTTGTGAGTAAAAGGAGAGCTGCAGACTAATTATGGAAACATGATTTGAAAATTATTTTCTGTTTGATGTGGTTAAAATTATGAATAAAATTATGTGACCAAGCAACCTTAAAAGCTATGCCTGTCTTGTGTATGCCTTGCAAAGATTGCCTGGGTTGTGCATAACGTAGCACATGCAGAAAAGTTACTGTATCTTCTCTGAGCACAAAGGTAGACTCAATACAAAAAAATTCCTTTTTCAGGATGAAGAAAATGGATATAGGTTATGATCCTCCATGTCACAACTCCCCGAAGACAGTGGAAACAATCTGCTTAATTCAGGCAGGCCTAAGTTTCCTCTGCTCTGTGTCAGTTTTGGCCTGGAGATCATACGGTCACATTGATGTACATTGTGCTCTGAGCTCATAAATCCTGAGAGAAATGAGGGCTATCAGTTCCAGGACAGCATCACGCTAGACCAGATTCAGTTTCTGAATTAGAACTGGCTCAGAACACAAATGAATTAACCTTGGTTTTGGTTTGCAAAAAGCCACGTGGACATACCTACTTTCTTGCCTACATAACAAGTATAACATGATAATATAAATTTTCTACTTCTATGCCATAATAGATTGGAGGAGTACACTAGGGCAAAAAGGTGCTTTATTTTTCTGTGCTCATTTCTTTCTTAGCCTTCTGTTGAAACTGTTTAAGAGGTTATCAATTGGAACGATAATTTTCAGCGAGAAGTTCTTGTAAAAGCTAAAACTTGACACTTTAATCCCTGAATGCATCTTGAGGTGAGTTATCTCTTGGTAAAGGATTATCCTGGACTACATATCAGTTAGTTTATTGCAGGGCCTCTGCAATCTGATTCTTTTAGAACTCTCAGAAACTTGAATTCAATGTAATGTATATAGTAATAATGTACTATTTTTAGTCAGTCTGCACTGGGCTTTGATTGTAAAATCATAGCTGACCATCTGTTCCTTAGGTTTCCAGATGCTTGGTTAATTTTAAGTAGCGATTCAAGAATAATATCAGTTGTTCGGAAAAGCTTAGAAAAATACTTGTGTGTGCATGGAACTAACTAATTTAATTTGCATCACAGTTCCCTTCTATAATGGAAAGAAATGCGAACAATAGCTATTTGGCAGTTGGCTAGGTATGTGGGAGTTCTAGAAGTTTTACAGGACTAAACTGATGAAAGATAATGAGATTTCACAATGCAGTTTTGTTGTGTGGTTTTCTATTCCATTTTGGCTACATGCACAAAAGCCTTCATTTTTAGTAGTGTTCGTAGTCAAGGGCATAGTGAATGTATTGATATTAATTGCATTTCATTAAAATTGTCTTTTGGAGTTCTTAACTCTGCTGGAGGCTAAGTTCATCAGTTATCCATGTCTGATGTGTCTTTGTGCAGAAGTTTGATGGTTTTCATGAGGTGCAGTTAGGGCATTCAGTGGTGAAATCTTTCTGGCAAATGAAGGAGTACTTAGAGTTGTGGTCATTTGTAATCAGAAGTGCCCTTATTTGTAATATTTCCAATAGGAGTTGTGCCTGCTCACAATATTTATTTGGAAAAAAAAAAAAAAAGGACTAAGCTTTCTTCATGTTACAGCCTGTTGCTACTGTAATTTGCTTAAGAAAATGAAATGTGATAGAATGAATTTATCTTTGGATGTGTTCAGTTTAACTTTTTGAAAACCTTTCATCTACTGGAGATGAATGTGAGCGACAGCTTAATTCATAGGGATGAGCATTCCTAGAAGGATCCACAGAATGCAGATAAGCAGCTGACTGTAAGAAGTCGTTTGGACGTAAGACTTTAAGATTCCCCTTAATTTTTTTGGAGGATGTTAACTAGAAGTTGCTTGTGAAATAAGAATCCTTTATTCTACAAACGCTTTTTGTTTCTGGAACATGTTTTATTGATCTAGGAATGCTGTGCTTACTGTCTTCAAGTTTCAAATCTGCTGCTTGTGTCCAAGTACAGGAGGTAGCATTTAGTATAATTTTTATCTCTAATTACTGCTGTTCTTTTCACATTCCCTTATTACTTGGAAAAGAAAATAATGCACAGTCAACATATATTTCACCTGAAAAGGCAAATCATGTTCGTATTACTCCTTCTAGTGAGTTCCCACCCAGAACATCTTCCAGCTGCAGTCAAGATCAGCACAGATTATGATTGTGGGGCTATTGTCTTTATCTGATACAAGTTATTTATAGCTCCGTTGAACCTATGCTGAACATGGCTACAGCAGTGCACAATGTCTTTGTCTTCAGTGGGTCTATAAAAGTTCATAGCAACTGAAGGTCTTGCTCTTCTGTCTTCCAGGACAGAAGGAGATGAAGATATAGATGCTTTGTACTGTACTGTACGTGTAGTGGTTTCTGGAATCACCTCTGCAATGTCTGCTTGCATAGAGGCATCTTACGTTCGTATATGTAGACTTCAATCTTGGTGTCTTTTGAAATACTTGGAGAAACTGATAGCTTATAATCATTCCTTGAACAAGCATGATTCTGCAGAAGCATTTATTTTGTGTAGTGACAGTCACATATTTTTGATAAAATTTAGCTTTTCTGAATGCTTTTTAGTATCACCACTCTTTTTTTTTTTTTTTTTTTTTTTTATAGAAGATACTTAGGTACAGTTGCTCTGTATTTAATGCCTTTAAATTAAGCACAAAATGAATGGTGTCAATGCCTATGTCCTTTTTACTGTATGTTAGGGCATCCTACCAAAAGATGGATAGTCCTAAAAGATAGGAGACTGAGTAGACTTTATGGCTAGGGGCTACAGAGATTCCTAGGTTGCTACGCAGCATTACATGCTGCTCCAGATTCTATTTTGCTTCTCAAAATGCAAGTTAGTCTGTACAAGTATTTAACTAAAGCAGCCTTCAGGCTTCTACATCACGGAATCTTGTTTTCTCGAGGGCTGTTAAAATAGGTAAATATTGGTAAATATAATTAAATAAGGAGAGGACACCATAAGTAAACAGGAAGGAATGAAGAAATTTCCCTAGGTGAGCTCTGTATTCCATGTTGAAAATAGCTCATAGAAACATTCATCCAGATTATCTGCAGCTTTGTCTTATTGGAGTCCTCAAAAAAAAAAAAAGAATCTTGCATATATTTGAACATATGAAATAAAAAGGACTGTGAGTATATACAAATGTTGTTTGAGCAACAATATTTGTTTTCTGTCTTTTATTTAAGCCATTTGGAAGAGAGGAAGGAAAAGAACAATTGTTTAAATTGAAGTACTGTGTTATACAGGACATGTCTTTTGACGATTACGAACAAGAATACATTTTAGAATGAAAAGCCGTAAAATAGAATGCTGGGGGGGGGGCAGTGCTGCTGCTAATCGTTAATGATCATAAAAAGTAAATGCCTTGAGATGATGAATAGCTGTGTGATTCCAGTTTAGGCAAATGTAGCATGAGAAGGCAGACATCAGTGAAGTGAGAAAAAGGAAGCATGGAATAAAATATCTCTCCATTTCTTTTCTACTAGGTATGAACTTGTACAGAGAGGTGTGTTCACAGCCGAAGACATTGGATTGGTTCCAACTGTGTATACCCGCAACCAGCAACTTGAGGCTGAGAATATGAGTTTGAGGAAAGATTTGGAAAACTATAAACTTGCTGCGAAGTATGTTATTTGGTCTTAATGAAACTTTGATATATAGTAGTAAATGGCCAGATAAAGTAAACTCAAGTACTTAATGGAAATAATAAGTTTCTGTTTGTTATGCTGGCTGTGCATATTTTTACTTCTAGGTGACATTTGTAATTAAAGTTCAATTTTCTCTGAGGTCTATTAGAAACCTAAATCTTAATTTCTTTTATTTGTATTTACTGGGCTATAGAAAATAATTTTCAATATCCAGTAATCACAACAAATTACCACAAAGAATCACAAGAGCATAATATGTAGAACTAGAAAATAAATGGTTAGGTGCATTTTGTATTAAAATACAGTACTATAAATTACAGCTACCACAAAATGTCAACATAGGAAAAAAATCACTACTTCATTTTTTTAATTGCAAAAAATCTATCACTCTGGCCCTAGTGGTAAATGATATGTCAGTGTAAATTACCATCATTGATTATATTTGTGTGTACATTGTAGTAGCTGATTTTACAAGTCAGTTGTCCTTCAGTTGTAAGAGAATTACAGTATTTAGCCTGAAGAGACGCAATAATGATCTACATGTAACATACCCTTTTCTGAATAATGGTACATCTGCACATGTAGGTTTTCATTGAGAATTTACCCTGAGACCTAATAATGTACTCACTTCAATTTTGCCAGTGCTTAGTTTTAAAATATGGAGCTGTAAAAACATGTTAACGCCATCTCTTTGATTTTCGTCAAGATTGCTCAAGCTACTAATTTTCATTTAGATTGTTCCTTTATATGAAAAATAGCTACTCAGATCTTAAATAACCGTTGCTGCTGATAATAATGATAATAAAATTATTTTCCAGTGGTAATGACTTATTACACTTTAATAGATTAATTGGCCATAATCTAATAGTTAAGTAAACAGTTTTAACAATCAAGTCAGATATTGTGTTGTCTGAATATACTGTTGCACTGGAAGATGGGCCTTACAGAAAACATTCTTTTCTCTTAATCTGCAGCTTCTTTGGACAATGGATAGTTAGGGATTGTGTCTCATTTGAGTGGGAGAGTAATAAGCAATAATGCATAGTAAAAGAAGGGAAGACAATATCTAGCTCTTCTGAAATTTATTTTGTCAGTAGCAATTTTAACAGGCTGCTTTTTTCTCCCCCCACCTTTTTTCTTTATTTTTTTCCCCCTGTATGAAGCAGAACGTGCTATAACAAGGTAATCTTGTTGATTGAGTGGATTATGGGCTTTCCTGGGTGTGTTGCATGGCGACATGATTGTTTAAGAACATAAAGCTCAAAACCATTTCTCTGTGGTCATGAATGAGTTGGGTTTTTCCCATAAGAATGTCTATATACTCTACAGGGTGCCAGAAAATTTTTTTTATAGCAGATGTCTAGTTAGGCTGAAAGACAACATGATATTGTGCAACAGGAATAAAATGAGAGGGAAAACACATTGCCAATATGCTAGGTTTCTACAGGCTATCTATCTGTTAAATAAAACTCCAAATACTCATTGAAGTGAACTGTGCTAAAAAATTAAATAAAACCATGAACTGAAACCATGGCCTGCTTTTTCCACATTCTAGTGTTTGATGAAACCTAAAATAGCAATGCTCTGGTGGTAAACAAGTGAGTTGTGTCACCTGTTCGGTATTCCAGACAGGGCAGTGAGATATAGGGCAATTCTATATGACACCAATTGGGAGTGGCTAAATACTGTTCATTGGCATTTACTGCTAAATATTGCACTTATTCTGCATGTACCTTGTCAAAACTATTAAAATTATTCTTCGTCTCTCCACTTGTAGGGAGAGCTTTATTTTCATAGTGTTTCTGCTAATATTAGAATGGAGTATATGTAGATGTAAAACTTGGTTTGCGCTAATGGTCACTACTTCACGTTCCAGCCTTTTTATTTCACATCACTTTCAAAGTTTTCATTGATACTAATTTTAAAAGGTCAGCACTTTTGTGAAATCAATTTCACTTATTTTAAATAATTTATAAATTACAACAGTACTGTTTCTGGAGTAATGAACCATTTCAGCTGTACATACCATGCGTTACTGTTCCTTTGTGTCTTTTGGATAAAACCTGATCATAATAGTCTATACAAAATCCATTTACTGTAGTGACTGTTTAACAGCATTTTTTCTTGTTCATACATTCAGTACCCTTGCTATGATAAAGCAAATTTTCCACCAGGAGCCAAAATTACCTGGAGGACAATTTGAGTTTTCAAGTATTGTGAGAGAGAATTCACCAGCTTACAGTGAAAACAGAATGCCTAAGAGCACTGAAGAAATCCTGATTTGACTGTTTAGAAACCAACAACTTGTGAGCAAAGAAAGTCTCGTATTTTGCTCTGTGGATTAGTCGGAAGTTATTTCTTTGTGAGATACAGTGCTGTGAAGTGTATTTGAAGAAAGCTTTTAATTACATATAGTATTTGTGAGCTTGGTACTCTTGACAACCATCTTGCAGAAAAGAGATGTTATTTGGGACTTAGGTGTATGAGGGCCCAGGATAAATGACTGTAAACCAATTACATCCTGCTTTAATGTTGTTTAGCAGTTGGGGGAAGAGATTCAGTTTCTAGAAGCTAACTGTAATTGTATTTTGGGTATTTTAATACAGCATTTACATGATGGCAGAGCAAGTAGGTGGGCAAATAGCATAGAATGCAGACTGCTGGTTACATTTCACTGTGACTTCTCATTATTTAAGGAGAAAATCGCAGTCAGCTTCACTTCCTTGTATACAATGAGCATATATATTTTTAATGGGTTGTCCAATGTCTGAAGGCATCTTGAGATGCAACAAAATCCCTGAATACATACATTAAAACAAATAAATACCAGCATAATTCTTTTAATCCAAAGCCCAGTAATAGTTACTGCCTTAAAGTTTAGATACACTACTAATCTATATTTAAATTATTTCTAAAAACAGACACTGTGTTGTGAAATAAAACTAATTTTACATTGGCTTGCTGTGTGACAGTAGTTAAAGCATACCTTTCTGTTTCTTTTGTCTTGAAGGCTACAGTTCAGCCCTGATTGATTGGTAAGGGATGTTGTTATCTGGTGCAATATTTCTCAAATGGAAGCACAGATATTCTTTCCAATATGCAATAAAAATTTGAAAACATCTCTGAAAACTGTGAACTCCTACAGGACACTAGGTAGTTCATTGTCTTCAGTGTTGATTTGTGTCATTTAAGCATTTAATACTCTAGTAAAATTTGCTTGTGAGTTTCTTAGCAACATTAAACTCTGCTTATCTGATGATTTAAAATAGCTCAGTTCCCATATATTTTGGTTTTCCTATGGCCAGACCATTTGTATTGCCTTTGAATATGTAGCTAGACAACATAATGGCATATCAGGTTTACGATTGTGTTAATCACAGGGACTGCTAACTGTGATATTTGTAAGTTCCTTAGATATTTAGGAATTTATTAGGTAGGTGGAATGAAACTTGTGTACAGCATTTGTCTGAGGTTTGTAATTGTGTTCACAAACATCAGTTAGGAAGTTTAAATATTTGCATGTGTGTTTCTGTCCTGATTTTTAGAAGCATGCTCACAAATATACACCCAGTTTTACAGCAACAGTAACAGTAAAAATATAAAGCAACCCTGGAAATCATGTTTATTATTACTGTTAGTGCTATCACCAGCGATAAAATCCTCAGCTGATCTCCTATTCCTCTGCCAAAATCTAACCATTCTTGCACATATTTCTCCACTTATACAAGGAAAAAATAAAGCATGCTCTTTTTGTATTGTGCACCATATTTAAATGTATCTGTTTAGTTATGTGATACATCCTTGCTGCTAAATGCTACGTGACCTAGATAGAGTAAAAGCATGAGAGTACATGTTTTCAGAAATTGTCTTTATTTGGATTAAAATTTTAGGGCTACAACTTGCAGCATGTGGGGGAATAAAGTCCCACCTAAATTCAGTGGGAACAGGGCACATAACTCAGCAATTCCTACTTTGTTTTATTGGACCTTGCTCTCTTCTGGTATTTTTATCAAACTGCGTGCTTGAGAAAGTTTAAATGGAGAGACCTGCGGTCTTTGATATACATCTTGACTACAAGAAATGGATATTAGCTTTTCTATGGCTGTAGCAACATCTTTTACTCTTAGAACAAGCCACCTGCTTAGCTCTGAAGGGGCAGGTTTTGCATTCAGGAACTTAGGGCAAGTCAGATTTTGTGAATGGTGTCATGATGGAGTTGTTTCACAGAGCTGTCCTGAGACCACTGACTCATTTACCTCTCAAATGTTTTGCTGTTCATGGGAGCTTGAGCAGGATCACAATCTGTACTTGTATCCCATATGGATATCCTAAGTTACTCTGTTTCACAACTTCTGGTATTTGTGCACATGCATACACAAAATTATGTGCATTCCCACAGCTCCTTTGAGCTTTTCACAGTGTTACTGCAGGGGCAGTGGTGCCTGTTTTCATTTCCCTGCCAGCTTTTTCTCAGCTTTGACTGATTGACTGTGGTGTTCTTCAGGTCTTTCTAACAGTTTCTGCTACAAGCAACAATTCATGTATAAACGTACACATATCATATAGTAGTTTGTATAGATAATAAATATAGCAAATACAGATATAGTAAATATGAATTATATGTACAATTAAATATAATGCATTGGCAGTTATGGGTTGTCTTCCCGGACCTGTGATTTTGGTATACTCCACTGTCATAGTGGTTTTCCTAACTCTTCAACTCCTGTTAGAGAGGAAATGAGCTTTATTTTTGCAAAGAGCAAGTATCCGATTTCTGTGCAAGGTAGTTTCAAGCTTCCTTTGTAATTAAGCATTTAATCTACTAATCTTTTCTGCCAAACCCATATCAGTAACAGCAGGCAGAAAATGTATGGAATATATAAAAAGTATTTTATGTTATGGAGCAGAGTATTTCAGGGTGTCCCATGGCTGTGTGTAGAATGTGCTTAGAGAATAACAGCTTATCAGTATGTTTACAATTAATTTTGAAATGGATTCCTTTTCCCTCCTGCTGTCACATACAGGGGACACTTGGGGACAGGCTGCAAGTATGATTGAATAGATAGCCTAGAACTTTGCTAGCACAATTTTTTCCAGAAGGTCTCTAAATGCATGTATTTGCAAGGCAAGGATAGTTATCCTTCTCTGTGTGTACTTCTAGCGTGTACCATTATGTTGGGCTCCAAACATGATGTAGATGTTAGAAAATCAGTATTGCAATACATTTTCATGTAGATTTTTAAACCAACAGCAAGAGTATTGTTTTCCAATCACCTGTAATTTGAATGCATACATCCACAAGACTCCTTGTTCTTAAAGTAAGGTTGATGTCTGAGATTTATAATGCCAGAATCCCATTTCTATCCAAAGCAACTGGGGAAAGGTAATGGTGAAGAGTACCCATGCTTTTGTACATCAGCTGGCAGCAAAAAGACCTCAGAAGTACATGTTCACCACAGGGCTTACTACCAAAAGTTTACAACTTGGGTATAAGTAGGCATGTGCATATCTGAAAATTAATTCTATGTGTATTCAGCATACCCTGGTGAGCAATTAACAGGAGGAGACTAATACTTCTCTTTTACATTTTCTGTTTACATATAGCAAAGCAAAAGAGGCTTTCCTAAAAATGCAGAAAGAACGTGACTTCCATCGAATGCATCATAAGCGAGTGGTCCAGGAGAAAAACAGGCTTATTTGTGATATTAAAAGGTAAAAATTACTTTAATTACCATACATGTAACATTAAAGATAATGTTTTCAATTGTTGCCTGGCAAAGAGATAACATTGTGGAATTTAAAGTGCTAAAGTAAAGCTGGCTGCATTTAATTAGCATCCTGGTATATAGCAGTTCCATCTGACTATTCTGCCATGTCTCTTAAACAATTTCTAATGTATTTTTTTTTTTATCATATGGTGTGATGTGGCATTAGTATATACATAGTATTTCTAATAGTTGAAAATATAAATGAGATTTTCTTTTACCCAGATCTTTTTCCATAAATCTGTAGCAATTTCTGTGTTTAGATCCTTTATACGTTTTAAGAGTAACTGATGTCACACTGACTTCAGAACATTTGTATTCATGATTCCTGTAGCTAGTGTTTTCTGTCCTTTTACATCTTGAACTTCCTATATGAAACTTGCTCTGTTGCTTTGGTTGCAAATAAGCCCAAACTAGTCCTTTGGTACTGAGCTGTAATAGTTTATTTTATAATATTTAATTCCATAACATTGTCATTCTGGAGTTCTGTAAGTTTTAACTGTTGTGCTTCCTTCTCTCCACAAGTAGAACTTTTATATTGTCCATCTGAAGATCACTGGGCCAGGTGAAAGAGTTGAGTTTAGAATCTCTTCTTGGCACATGTTTATGCCAGCACTTGTTTTAAAATAACATTGAGGAGTGGCTAACATCTGCAACTCCAGACAGTTCACAGAATTTTTGCTTGTCAATATTGTTATTAATAAATGCATGTAATAGCAGCTACATGTTCTACATCTTTAACCTTGAAATCCATACATACTAATGCGAGAGAGCTCTATTCACTGACTTACACTCTGTGTCAGCTTTTTGCAAAATGCAGTATTTTTTGAAGCTCTAGTCTCCTATGTTTCTTTTGAGATATTATATATCTAACTTTCAGTTGTTCTGAAGAATTGAAGTGGTTAAGAAGAAAGAAATAGTAATCATATTACGACTTTTGTCTAGATTAGGATCTTAGCTGGTAGTCAGAGAATGGCTATAATTCTCCTTCTTCCACTGAAACATCATTCATCGGCAGGACAACTTAACAAAAATTAATGTGCAATATGCATATGAAGGATTAAGAACACGTCAAAACTTGATGTATTATTTTAAAACATATGAGTAAACAAACTGTGAAACCTCTTATCGATCTGACTTCTAATTTTTGTTTTTTATCTTGTGGCATTCCAGTTGGGTGGTTACATACTATAATATCTTTGTCTCCTCTCTGTTGACCTTTTGGCACTTCTTTTATTTGGGGAGGAAAACAGTTACACAGACATAAATCTTTGATTTAATTTGTCTTTGAGGAATCATTTGTCCTCCTCTTTTTCACAGGCTGAAGGCACATTATGCATCGTATGAACCAGTGCTGAAGCAGTTGACTGAAAAATACCAGGCTACACTGAGACAGAAAATGTTAACTAGTTTGGAGAGAGACAGAGCAGTTGGGCAGGTAAAACTATGGTGAAGGCCACTTGCAAAGCTGTAAGGAATGCTTTTGGTTTTTACTTTGGCAAATACAGAGGATATTTCTGTTAAGGCAACTTATTTATGCAGTAGTTTGAAGCAGAATATTTTAGTGAGTTTCATGTTATTTGGGGAAATGTTAATATTAAATCTATGCGAAACTTAGTGCCACAAAGTGGCAGTTCTCAGTCTGTAGTTGTTCAGTGATGCTCCACATACATCGGCAATGTGCAGACCCTGTTATACTTTGTGTCGACAACTTGAGGAAAGGGTGTGATATTTCTATGGATTCGTATGCTTCCATCTATACCTTTAGAAATCTCTTACTTTAACTTTCTTTATTACTATTTACTATTTTATTTTTTCCTAAATATATCCAGGAACAACCCACTAGTTTAGCAACAAATACATTAAGGTATCAGACACAGTTTTTCTGTCTCGTGAGTGGAATAATAGAGTAGTATTTTACTCCTACAATCTTATCTGACGTATAGGTCGGTATACATGATATTCTGCCCCTTTAGCAGGAACTACTATAGGCAGATAGGATGGATGAAGAACAGAAAATTATCTTGCATGTGTTTAACCGGTAGGTTGTTTGCTCAAAAGAGGAGGGGAACAAAAAAAGAAAAAGGAGCTCCCAAAATGCATTGCATTTCCTCAGTAGCATCAGTTATATGTGGGTAACATGAAAGGAATTTACCATGCTTGCACTCTCTTCTGATAGTCCCTACCTCTCATTTCCTCCACTCCTCTGCCTCCAATTTTTCTCAGGTTGCCTGAGGGCTTACTTTTAAAAGACTGATTATATGTTTGAAATTTCAGTAAGTAAAAGAAAATGTCCGAGAGAAAAAGAAAGGTTACTGTCCATATAGAGTTATGCTAAATCAGGATTGCAAAGCATAGAACAGTTCCAATGCTATGAAATTTCAGGAACTTATGTAAGACCTATCTGGTTATGAACTGTAAGCATGCTGGGGTGATGACTTTTTTGTCACACAGAACACCACATTTTGTGGCATTTTCTTATAACAAAGCTGTATGTCATATTTTGCCATTAAGTTAAAGATCAATGCAGTCATAGTAGTGGTTTAAAGTTGATGGTGCAGTAAAATCCCTAGTATTCTATATGTCTGCATTGTTTTAATAGAGCTGTAAAAAATATTTTGAGATATTCTGGATGGCTTGTATTGTATTACATTGTTTCGCTGGGCTTTTCCAAAATCTCAAATTAGGAGTAATGTTCATGACTTAGAGACAATAATCAGAAAAGTAAAAATTTATAGATGTAATTTATTACTTGAATAGTCAGACATAAATGCTGTGTGTTGGGAACAGACAGTTCAAAAGCAATGTTTTCATATTATCTCTTCTTGTTCTCTCCTCTTCTTAAAATTAGGTTACAGGTTTGCAAGCCACATTACAAAATTTAGAGTCTGAACATGCTATTCAGATTCCTGTGACAAAAGGTAACATATTCCCCTTTCCAAGCTCAGATTGGTTATGGTTTTTTTTGTTGTTGTGATTCATTTCAAAATCTGGTGTAACAGTAAATCAAAAATACTTGCACTATAAGCATTTAATCATCTCTCTTGGTGACAGAGCAGCAATTTTATCATTTGAATATTTATTCTAAAATGTATCTACTAAGGACACTGAGACTGCTGATGGCAGTATGGAATATGTGAGTAACTATGGAAGGACTTCATCCTAAAAATCTAGTTTGTGCATGATTTTATTTTATCCCCTAATATTTTTTTTCACACAAGTGTTCTTTTTCAACTCACTATAAGAAGGTATGTATGGTGGTCTGGAAACATTTTGAAAATACTGATGTCATGAAATCCAGCCTCTTATTTCAGCATGTCTCATTTTTACAGGAGGTTGCTAAGGTTATATATACCTGTGAGAATAATATATTTATCTGTATGGTACTACACGACTTCCCTGGTGTTTTGAATAAATGCATAATTATTATTAAATTATTTTTAGAACTCCATTGGAAAAAACCCTAGCACCTCTGGTTTCCTAAGTAAACAAAGCCATGCTATCACATTCTTTGTGAGCCTCTCTCCCACTAATAATTTTGAACCTATTTTCCAATTTCAGCAACATTTGACAGTGAGGTAAGTATCAAACCAGATTTCTGAAAGACTCTTGAAAATAGATGAGATGATGAAAAAGGGGAACAGTGAGCTCCACCTTCTTTGACAACAGAGTATTCACATGAGAAGGGGATGTTGCACCTGCTTAGTCATCAGCAGAACTCTAATCAGAGATTGCAGTTTATTTGACATTGGAGAACTCCAAATTTCTCAGCCACATAGGTGACTGGGTATCAAATATTATACAACTTCCAGGTGAAGCATTTGTTGTAATTAGGACATTTTTTTATCTGTTTACTTTGTGGTTTTTTTTTTTCCTGTGTGTTAAAGACCTAAACATCATTTTTCACTGGTAATATACCCCAGGTAAAAAGCCACTGAGTTACCCCAGCCTTTGACAGCCGAGCTTCATTAGTTCCCACATTCACGGGGTTACTTCCATTGCGTAAAATTCCTGTAGAAAGGACCAGGCTGAGAAGAATAGTAGCCACAAATTCTTTTGTTTCTTTTTGGACTTGTAGTTGAGTGAAGAGGATAGCAAGCATTCCCTTGACTATTAAGATGGTTTATTTTCTATTAATGCAGACATTTCAACTACCATCCAGATCTTTGCTACTGCCTATTATGAGCATAGTACACTTGGTTTAATTTTTTCCTCCAGATTCTGTCTAATGTAGGTTGAAACAGTTGGTTTCCTAAATTGTTGTGAATTGCTACAAGAACTGGATTGAGATCTAACTATCTGAAAGATGCCCCTCATCCTAGTTCAGGTCTTGGTTTCCATGCAGCAGTGAGAGGGTTCTGTAGCTGAGTCATCCCTTGGAGCACACCTTCTAAGCTACCATTTAGTTAACAGCATAGCTGTTTTCATTTCTGGAAGAACCTGCAAGGGTTCTGTAGTCTTACCTAGTATAAACTGAGCTATGTTTTTAATTCTGTATACAAGCAAATAGCTACTAAACTAATAACTTCTGTAAATATAGACCAGATGTGTTAATACGGTGGAATACTGAAGCACTGGCAGCAAGCCTCTTCTGTGTTCACAGTATCTTTCTGGTTTTGCATTCTGATGCCTTTTTTTTGTATGAGTTAGTATCATACTCCTCAGCAAGGCTCATTTCCAGCCACTAAAAATACCTTTCTGTGGCTGTATGTACTGGATATGCTCTGCTGTAACCTTTAAATCATGTTACAACTAAAAGTATACACCTCTGCCCCACCATAGAGCACAGTGCTCATTTTCATCCTACTTCAGATCAGGAGGTAGAGAACAGACTTTTTATTTTATATTAGTTTAGGACATAGAGCATTCAACTTTCTCATTATACTCTGGCTTGAGGATATATAGGTTCTTCCCCCATGCTAGTGTTTTACAGTACAGATACCCCATCTATCTATTTTTTTGTAATTCACATACTTTCGTTTGTTGTTTGAGTGATTCTAAAAACCACCCTCCAGCTCCTTTATTCTCCAAAAATCTTGAAAGCAATTTTTAATACCAAAAAGTATTTATAATACCAAAATTTGTACTACCAAAAAGTGACAAGCAGGAGAGCATTTTATAAATAATAATATTTTTTAAAAAAGCACTTAGTCTCCAACACAAATTATTAAGCTCATCAGCCGCCCATGTGCTTGTACAAGCCTTAATTTGCTTCATACCCTGTGTATTGTAAATTAAGTGATGGTTCAGCTTTTCTTTCCAGTGCTTTGTCCTCTAATACTACATAATTTTTACTGCTCTCTCTAGGTCATACCCATGTCTCGGTGGGTGATATTCTCTTTTCAGATACTTTCTGCTGCCTCTTGAAAGATGGTCATATTCTGTTGCCTCTTGAATTCATGAGACGGTATAATTGAAATCTTGAGAAGCAAGCAGTGCATAGATACTGGAGAAATGTTTGCTGCATTTTTCTCTGAATTTAAGTTCTTAGTTTGGAAGGAACCAGTGCTGTTGGACTTGCAAATCTCTTCTGTAAGGACACCTACAGCTGCATTTTTTTCAGTTGCCATCTCTTCAGGGCTGACTTCTATGCATTAGTACATTGGTACACTGTAATTATAAGGTTTTGACCGTTCAGATTGGCAAGTTATCATTTGCCAAGGTAAGATGCCTTTTCTGGCCAGCTTTCTGCTTTTACTGCAGTGCAAAGCATGAAGGAACAAGAGCAGCTCTTCCCTCCAGCAGGAGATTGCCCGTCACTGCTCCTGATGCTGTTTCTGTCCCACAACCTGAGTCGACTGCAGAACACCTGGAATGCTGGCTTTGGCTAGAGGGCACTGAGAGTGACTCTTAATTAGCTTTGGGTTTGCTGAAGTGTCTGAGGTTTTGAATAACGGCAATGAGGTCATGCACATCCAATTCGTTGTGGGTTTTATATTTGGGTTTTGTTTTTTTCTTTTGAGGGTGTCATATAGTGTATAATGAAGAACAAAAGGAAGCTTTGTATTATTCACAATGAGATTGCATTGTAAATTTGTATCTGGCAGCTAGGTAGAAAAAACAGCAGTTAATGTTAACTTTAGGACAACTATTCTGGGCTTATTACTTAAGCATTTGATGTAGCAGCTTTCAGCCTGATGCATTTCAAACAATCAAAGAGGATAGCATCCACAATATAGAGTGTGTAACTTAGTATACTAGGGGTTTTTGCTGTCCCACTGCCAGACTGGTGTTTAGCTTTGGAAACAGTGCCTTGTACGCAAATGCTTCAAGAGAAAGCTTTCTTTAGGCATCTTAAAAATTATTAGAAGTTTAAGTTTTTATTTCCTATTTACTTACTTTGCTTGTTTAAAGTTGATCTGAAAGACATTTAATAGTTGGAGACAAACTAGTTAACAATTAGGATTAGGACTTGGTCATCTTGCAGACTGTTTCTTTGTCCTTGTTATGCTCACTCAGAAGCCAGCTCTGAAAGAAAAGTTGTATTTTGAATTCAGATTATTTTTTAAAAGCATTGGATGTTTTGTGTAAGAAGATTTGCATTAAAAACTGGTTTTAGTTTTGTTTTAAATCTGGTTCTTCCTGATGCAGTAGCAAGATCATATGTAGAGGAACCTAATTATCAAAGAGAAATAACTGATTTTTTTATTTATGTTATTGTTGTATATTAGCAGAGCACTTGCACCCTTACTTACGGATCAAAACACAGTGTTAAGTGGTGCTCCGAAAACAGACCATTTTTGCCTGAAGGAATTAAGCAATGCTGATTGTGGCTTGCTTACAAACCTAAGTGAATGCTGCTGTAACAGCTGGTTCTAAAAACATGTTATAAAACTGTTACTTGCTCGGTACATTTCTTGTATTTTCTAAAAACAACAGCTGCTTATTTATTACCCAATTACATTCAAAAGTTGAATGCAATGAGTTTCTTTACTCATGGTTGAATTAACTCATTGCTAAGCCTGTTAACTGTGCTTTTCCTTTTCTTGATCTGATGTAATTGCTCTTAGAAGGTCATGCAAAAAGAAATTTAAAATGCACCAGTTTAAGTATTTAAACCTGGTTGTGCCCATTCCATCTACAATGCAATCGGAACAGAAAACCTGTAAACAGAAGCTGTTGACATGTTAGTGCAATCGCAACAGTTCTTTAGAATTTTTTCTTTTTTTTTTAATGGTTACTGACTTCTTAAGCCCTTCAACTGTCATAACTCTGTTGGTTTGTAAGTATGTGTATTTCAAAAGCACCAACAAACCAAATGCTCCGTGAGCAACATGCTAGTGGGTAGCAGTTACTGAGTGAGTAGAAAGTGTTTGACATATAAACCAATTTTGCGGTATATTGTTCCTCAGAGAAAGTTATTATTCAGGCTATCTGTGACACTAGCTTTAACTTTTAAAGCAGTGAGAATCAGACATTTTGTTAGACTAGGTACATTTCTTTTTATCAGTTACAGTTTTTCTCAGGTTGGGTATATAGGAAGGTTTTGTGTTTGCTTGCTCTGCTTTTTTTGCCTCAAGAGTGGAGAGGGTGGTGGTTTTTCCCCTTTAAATCAGAAAGTTTGCATTTTGCTGTCAAGATCTTAAACCACGCTACAAGAGTGAGTATTTAGAAATGCGTAGTGTGGAGTACATTTATTTCAGTCTGGATTTTAGCTGTATAATGTGGTTTTCAATCTGAGGTTTTTTCAAAGAACTGGAGGCATGTAAGTGTCCAAATCCTGTTGGAATTCAGTAGTCCATTCTTCTTCCCGTAGACCCATGTACATACTACGGGGCATTGCAACAAGATACTGGTATCACAAGGGACTGTATTCAGGTATGTGTGAGCTGCCAATACAAACTCTGGCAGAGAATAGTATCCTTTCTGCCAGGTCATGGCAGATGCATTGTACAATAGTCCACATGTGCTATACTGTTCCTTATATTCCTTTCAGCCTATTCTGATGATTTACAGCTATGCTACCTGCTTTGGATTTCTTTGAGGTACCTATTCATCAGTAATTTCTTGTCTGAAAGGTGGGTTGGGAGAAAGTGCAGGGAAGCAAAAAGGGAATGCAGGCTGTAAATCAGAATAATGCATTGGTGGTAGATATTGGACAGGATGCAGTGAGATGATGTTTCTTCTGGCTCTGAGGAAAATGAAGAACTGCATCCATTTTACTGTGACTCTCCTTTACTGCAAGATTCAAAATCGTTGCTGCATTTTGGAGGCAAAATAGAGTGTATCATTAAGTAAGCTGAAATACATCACATCAAAATAATTTGTGGAACAGAGTTATATGTAGTCTTGAAATACATTATATGGATGGCACAGTAACCTGACTATCTTTTTATTTAAACTGGTGTTTCTTTTAGAATTTCACATGTCTAGCTGTAAAGAGATATGTTCCAAAAGACTAAGTGAAAAATACATTCTGATGATATTTTAGTTGTTTTTATTTTATAGCAGGCCACAAATGTCAAAGGAAGAAAGTATTGGAAGGTCCCACCCAGAAAGCTCTTCAGGAAGCCAGGCAGCAAAAAATCCTTGATACTGAATGCTCTTCATATGATCCAGTCAAAGATCCAGAGAGGATAGGCAAGAGCTATCCAAAGGTATGCAGCGATCTTTGCAGTTGCTCAGAATCTAATCCAAAGTATGCTTTAAACTTTTACTAAGCTGTGGTGAAAAACACTACTTGCCCAATATGACTGAAGGAAGTCTGTCACGTAGTGACGAATGCTTAGTGAAAGTAAATAGGACAGGTAAGTAACAGGTTTTTTAATTTTAACATGAGTTTCTATTGCAACTAATTTTTCAGGGAATAACAGGAACTTTTATTAGTTGAAGCTAGCAAGCTACTTTTCAAGAGTCTGATGTACTTACCCTGCAGAGGAGGAGCACTGGCTATAAATGCGTGTTGCTCTGTTATGTTTCTTTTGTAACTGGAGAAATCCTGACCTATTGTATAATGCTTGCAAACTTTAAGTATTTCAACCTGTCTGTTTCAGCTGGATCTAAAAGGTATAACGTCTGGGAGACTACGGGCAATAAATTGGGGATTTCTTAATAGTCAGTGAAAGCTTCTGAACTTGAGGATACCAAAAGTGTGTTGCTGTTTTCAGTTTGGAAGTTATTAATCAAAATTAATTCCTGATTGATTTTTTTTTTATTTTTTGAAAGGAATTTGTTTACTGACTTTATTTTACTTGAGATTTCATTTTGGGACTATATAACAGTGCTTTTTACTTTTCAAAATCAAGGTAAACATTCTAATATCTAAAATATCTTAAGCTCTTAAAACTGTTACACTGGCCTGTTTTTGTTTGAGAACCACAGTTGGAGTTTAAACTGTGGGTTTTTTGAGAAGAAAAAGCTTTAGTTTATGTTGATGTGCTTGGAATCTGCTTCAGTCTTTCCTTTCCCTGTCTCCTCAAGAATATGTCCATGGTGATTTATTTTTTTGTATGTTTCTATGTGTTTTTGCAAGGGCATTTCTTCTGTCTAGCACTGGCAGTGCACCTCTTCCCTGACAAACATACCATTTTATTTACAATTTCATCCCTTTTCATTCTCTTGAACCTCCACCTGTTAGTATCTGAGTATTACTGAGACACCTGCCAGTCAGTCCATATCCACTTTCCCTGTTCTTCATTCAGTGGTTAGAAACTTCCATCTTACTCTTACAGGTATCTCTTATTTTAATTTTGACTTGTGAACAGATGAGTGTTTCTTTGCTTATGAAATCTTATTTTTTGTTCCTGTTTCTACTGAAGTCATCAGGATTTTTGTAGTAAACTTCAGTGGAGTTATGTTTCACCCCCAGAATATATAAACTCTACACAGGTAGTATGCCTGTCTGGCTCTTTCTTGTGCTTTGAAATTCATGAGCACTGTTAGTTGACTGGTTCTGGCAAGCATCTGTGTTTCTGCAGATCTTATGTTTCCCAGATGAGTCCTACCAGAGGCCCTGATGTCTTTATTTAATCAATGGATTAGAAAACTGGAGTAGCTCCAGAAGTAAGACATCAGAAAATATGGGCATGTTTGAATGTACTAGATTTTACCATGGCAATAACTTAAAACTTTAGGTGTGAGACTAGCATCTTTTCCAACAATGAAACATTTTTTTTTCACTTCAAATTTCCTGGATCTATTATTTCTAAATATTTCCTTTCCCCTAACAAAGGATACTACTACTACTGCATGTGAATTGTCTTTTTTAGGCTGTTAGAAATAAATGGCAGAGGGAATGATGAGTCTGTAGAGGGCAAAGGGATGAGCTTACACTGTGTTTAAAACAAAGATACTCACAGAACTCTGTCCTGTAGTGCACATTTATTGAACTACAGTTCTAATCCAAGGTTTGGGTTTTTGGTTTTTGTTTTGTTTTTTTAAATAGTGCATTCTTACTCAACAGTTTAGTTGACTTACATTTGTTCTTACAGTGATTCAACATGACAATGTCTTTATTGGTGTACCATAAATAATAGTCTTGTTCTCATTTACAAATATTGTTTAGCTCTTTTCAGTAAATGTAAGTGAACAATTAAACCTTACAAAAGTTCAGAGTGATAAGCTTATCCAATTTTAAAATTTAGTCATTTGGATTATATTGTGTTCAGTAAAAAGCTAATGTATTGTCATGAAGTCGTATCCTTGAGACAGAATTATATATGTATTAACTGTACAGTAACACAGGAGTGAACGATGGTGGTGAAAATGATTTAAAATATTTTCTGTGTCTTGTAGCTAAATAGTGATCTAACAAACGCCTGTGCTTACTTTTAAGTAGATGCAAATATGACTCATAGCTGAACTAGAACATTTACCTCAAGGACAGACATATATTGTGTTATTGTAATATCCTGTAAAAGCCGACATGTAATTTAAAGCCTAAGGTCCCTTTGATATGAAGTTTATCACTGAAACAGTGAAAAAGCAACTGGAATTTTTCTGAGGGAATGTACTCTCCTGACTTTAAAAATCTTTGTTACGTGACTCAATTAAACTATACAGTAATAGGCAATTAGGCTAAACTGTTTACATATCTAGACCTTAATAAGCCAGTATCAATAGCATAAATATTCTTAGATTAAGAATGTGCATACAGTACTGCTTTAAACATTTAAATTAATTAAGATGCACTCACAGGTCATTAAAATTGTAGAGAACCTTTGATAATGTGATTTTCGTTATCCTGTTAAAATATAGTTTTCCTATTTTTATATTTTATTCTCTCAGGTTCCTCACAGAGTACATTCTGTGTTTGATTGCTTTTATTAGTTAAACTTTACTAAATTAATGGAAAACAGATTGCAAATTTACAGATATATTGAATACGCTTTGCCAGGATATGTTGTCATTAATGATCTGGAAAATGGAACAGAAAATATGCTGACTAGAGTTGCAGACCAAGTGAACTGGCTTTGGTGGGGGTGGAACTGCAAGCGCAATTGAGGACAGGAGTACAATTAAAAACGTGACCTATTGGAGAATTGATCTAAAGAAATAACATGCAATGTAAGAAAAGGTACAAAACTCTACCTTTAAAAAAATGATCAAAAGTACAAATACAGAACAAGAAGATAAGAAACAGTTGATCAAGTAGCTTTTATTTAGAATAGGCTCTAGGGTTTGTTGTATAAAACAAACTTAGTATGAGTCACCGATGACATGATAGTGCAGAATAGCTGAACGCCATACTGCAGGAATATTGTGTGGAGGATGTGGAATATTCTTGTTGCTTTGTTCAGCTGGTATGTAGCTTTGACCACGGTATTGTGTTCAGTTTGATCACAGCTCTTCAGGAGAGAAGTGGAGCATCTCGAGTAGAGCAATAAGAACGGTTAGAAGGCTAGGAAATGTAACTGTCAAAGAAAAGGTGAAAAGTGAAATTGCATGGTCTACAGAAAAGAATACTAAGGGGAGACAGGATACACCCTTAAAATCTAAAAGAACTCTGTTAAAAAAAAAAAAAAAGGTAAAATGACCTGTTAGAACAAGAAGTAATCAAGTAGAAATCCAGTAAGAAAGATTCAGCTTATATATTAAACAAAATTTATGGTAGTAAATACAATGAAGCACTGGAATAGAGTGCCTAGTGAGTTTGTGTTACTTAGAGTAGGATAGACAGATTTTTCTGAGGACTAACATAGGTGCAGTGTCCCCTTGGGAAAGGGGATGTACTGATTGACCACCAGAGGATCTGTTTAGCTGTCTAGCTGTCATTATTAGTTTGATTTCCCCCCAAAAATTGTGTTTAAGGGAAGAAACTTTCTGCCTTGCCCTAAAATAGGAGGCCACTTCCAACTTTCTGTTAAAGAATACCAATATCAAAATAAGTCTTTATAATTCCTGTCAGACTTGATGGTTGGGGAAAAGGAAAAGACTCACATTAGTGCCTGAAGGTGGGAAAGCATTCAGAAGATATGCCAGCCAGCAAACGTGTATTTGTGTACAGATGAGCATGACTGTAGCTCTAGAACAAGTACAGCACGCACAGCTTCTTGTCCAGTGGGACTGTCATCAGATACACAGTGGGAGCTGGTGTTATTACGGTGACAGTGGGTATTAAGCAGCAAAGAATATGTATCTTTAGAATATGATGCCTCTCTGTTTCTATGTATAAAATTAATGGCCTGTGATTCAAATGTTAAAAATATGATCCAAGATTAACTGGATGTAAGCTAGAAACTGTTCTTTAGTTGATTTTGATGGAATTTAAGAATTACGTATTTTGTTAGGCAATACATTATTTTTTAGAAACTACTATAGACTTGAAGATGGTAGAAAGAAAAAGGTACTTTTTAGATTAAATCCATGCTACTGTTTTAATTTGTGTATGATATTCTGTATGTAATAGATGATGTAATGATGGCTTTAGTTTTAGGCTTTGCCTAAACATGTGTTTTTAAATGACAGACCTACATGCAGAAAATAAAATGTTTCAGAATATTAGCTACAAATAAATCTGTATATATAAAAAAAATTCATATATCCGTAAGAAAAATTTATAAAAGACAACATAGATGTAATTTTCCATCCATCGTTGTTGCTTTGTTAAATCAAGACACCCAAAGCTGTGCATTTCTAGATACAGATTTTTTTTGATATCTGATGCCATTAGTCCATATAAAATTATCTTGTAGAGCATCCAAAGGGTTTCTGTGTGCTAAAGTACATTGCTTATTTTGAGTCATTGCATGCTGCTAAGAATAATAAAATAAGAGGCCCCTGAGACTGAAAACAAATACGGAAGAATGTTGGAAAGTAAGATGCATTTGATCCTAATTCTAATTGTAGATATGCTTTGCATATTCATATATTTCTGTAGTGGAGTGTAAATAGTGACAGATTTTAGAATAATAGCCTGTCTTCTGTGAGACTGTGCATCTCATTCTTGCTATAATCATTTACAAAAATTGCTGATAATAAAAATGCTAATTTTCTATATGCCAATGCTTAGATTTCCTGGAAAAGAGACCTACTGAAAATTTAGCAAAAAAACTTTGAACGTTGCTAAGAAAATGAAAAATATAAAGAATTAATGTAAACAGAAAAAATGTAAAGACTTTAAAATGTCCATTTTTCTTTATTGATAGCTGTTGCTATT